CTTTATTAGAGACAGCATTTGTGTTACAGCCAAAATTTGGATGTTATAAATTCTTCTGAGTATTTACAGATGTTGATTCTACTTTTGCTCCAAAGTATGCATGATGTATTTAAGTAATACTTTGAAGAAAAAAAAACTCATAAAACCTACTACCACTTAGAAATTTGTTTGAATTTATGTCATTTGTTACTGTAAGTTCAGTTTATTCTAATTAGGTTACATAAACACAGGATTTAAACCAACATATGTTCCACCAAGGCCAATTCATTGTATAAGTGTTAAATATAAGCAGTCATTGTGGCTTGAAGCAAGATCACACATGTAATGATAAATGAAGGGCTTTCTAATACTATATGGGCACTCTAAGAATTATTTCATATGACTATAAAGAAGTTAAGAGGCCTCCTGTCTCATTCACAGCAGTTTCTCCAAAATAATGTGGTGTGCCGGAGCACGTTGGTGGTATAGTGGTGAGCATAGCTGCCTTCCAAAATAATGTGGTGTTTCAAAAAGCAAATGATAATCATGAGGTTGGATTCTTCAGGATCATGAATAAATCATTTAGTTTTACCATAACTTCCAAGTGATGGGAGGTACCATACCAGAAAATGTATGTTTGTGTTTGTTGTAATTTTTTCATTCTTGAACAAAGCATATTTATTAAAAATTTTAAATTTTCTATAAAAAGAAAAAAAACCAAAATCTTCATTAGGGGCTGTGGCTATAACTCAGTAGTAGAGCACCTTCCTAGGTTCATTCCCCAGCACTGTGAAAAAGAAAAAGTATCTACATCATTATGATCCAGAAATGAACATTTCTCAAGACTAATGAACTATCCTGATATCCACTTGCTTGAGATTGAGTTAATCCCATAAAAGATGCTACATAAACTTTCAGCTGTGCTACTCAAGAAGAACCCAGGTGCTAGCTGTTCATCTTTCGAGATGCTGTCTTATTGCTACATAAAACTTTTTCTTTTCTATCAAAAATCCTACATTACACCAAAGCAGGGGGTGGGGAACCCTGGAAGTTATTAACTCTGGATAGTAAAATGATGAGTATCAGTTATTTCTAACCACTTTTCTCTATTTTCTAAAATTTCTGAATGAGAAACATATTTCATGAATAAAATGTTTACCTCTGGGCAAATGTAAGTAAATACATAATACAAATACACAATAGTGTCAGCTTTCAGCAGGTTTATTATATGAAATGTGAAATCATAATAAATCTTATTTGACACATTCAATAGGAGATAATAGAAAAATTAAAAGGATTATAACAAAATATTCTGGACAGGTCCATGTTAAAAAAAATAGATAACATGGGCAAATTCCTAGAAAGATATGAACTGCCAAAAATTAGTCAAGAGAACATCTGAATAGACCTAAACAAGTAAAGAAATAAAATGATCAAAAAACCTACCCACAAAGAAAACCCCATGCTCAGATGGCTTCACTGATGAACTCTTACTAAACATTTAAGGAAGATGTAATATCTGCTCTTCACAAACTTTTCCGAAAAACAAGGGAACACTTTCCAAATCATTCTATGTGGATAATATTATCCTGATATCAAAACCAGACAAAGACATCATGACAAAAGAAAACTAAGCTGGTAACTTTTATGAACACAGATATGAAATTCCCCTATAAAATACTAGCAAACTGAATTCAGCAACACATAAACAGCATTAATACACTATGGCCAAGTGGGACTTATACAAGGAATGCAAAGTTAGTTTAATATCTGAACTTCAAATAACATAATATGCTAAAAAGGACAAAAAAAACCCACATGATCATCTTACAACATGCAGAAAAAGACTTTGACAAAATTATACTTTGTAATTTTTAAAAAGCCAACAAACTAGGAATAGGACTGAACTTCCTCAACCTGATAAAAAAGCAACTATGAGAAAACCACAACTAATATCATACTTAATGGTGAAATATTAAATACCTTCCCCTAACAAGGCAAGGATGTCTACTCTGGCATTTCTATTTAACATTGGAAGATCTAGCAAGATTAGGTAATGAAATGAAAGCCACTAGAAGGGCTAAAATGTAGCTCAGCGGTAGAGCAATTGCCTAGCATGTACTAAGCCCTGGATTCCATCCCCAGCACCACACACACACACAAGGCATTGGAAAGGAAGAAGTAAAACTATCTCTATTTGCAGCTGACATGATTTATAAATAAAAATTACTAATAAATCCACTAAAAAAATTTTAGAGAAAATAAATGAAGCCGGGTGCAGTGGTGCACACCTGTAAATCCAGCAACTGGGGAGGCTAGACAGGAGAATTGCAAGTTCAAAGCCAGCCTCAGCAATGGCAAGGCACTAAGCAACACAGTGAGAGCCTGTCTCTAAATAAAATACAAAATAGGACTGAGGATGGGGCTCAATGGTCGAGTGCCCCAGAGTTCAATCCCTGGTATCAAGAAAAGAGAGAGAGAGAGAGAGAGAGAGAGAGAGAGAGAAAGAGAAAGAAAGAAAGAAATGAACAATGAACAATGCAATGAACAATCCAAAATGAAATTAACAATTATTTACAATAGCACCAAAAAGAATAAAATACTTAGATTAAATTTCACAAAAGTAAAATAGTACACTACAAAACATCAGTAAAAGAAATTAAAAACATCCTGTGTTCATGGATCAGATGGCTTATTTATTAAAATGGTAATACACTCCAAATTGATCTGCAGATTCAACACAATCTCCATCAACATTCCAGCTGACTTCTTTGAGAAATTGACAAATCAATTCCAAAATTCATATGGAAATACAAGGAACCAGAACTGCCAAATCAATCTTTTTTAAAAAAAAATTTTAATATTTATTTTTCAGTGTTCGGCAGACACAACATCTTTGTTTGTATGTGGTACTGAGGATCGAACCAGGGCCGCACTCATGCCAGCCGAGCGCGCTACCACTTGAGCCACATCCCCAGCCCCCAAATCAATCTTGGTAAACAAAGTTGAAGGACTCTGTTATGGTTTGGATATGAGGTGTCCTCCAAAAGCTCATAGGTTAATGCAGGAATATTCAGAGGTAAAATGATTAGATTATGAAAGCTGCAACCTAGGTGAATGGACTGCCTGGGTGGTAACTGTAGGCAGGTGAGGGGTGGCTAGGGGAGGTAAGTCAGTGGGGTTGTGCCCTGGAAGGGTGCATTTTCCCTTCATCCTCTTCCCTCTCCCTCTTTCTCTGCTTCCTTGCTGCCATTTGGGGAGCAGTTCCCTTCTGTCACACCCTTACCCCCATGATGTTTTGCCTCACATTGGGCCCAAAGCAATGGAGTCAGTCTATGGACTGAGATCTCTGAAACCGTGAACCAAAATGAACTTTTTCTCCGCTAAGCTGTTCTTGTTGGGTATTTTGGTCACAGAGACACAAACTTTCTACAAAGCTACACAATCTAGACTCTACAATACTAGCATAAGGAATACATATAGATCAATGGAATAAAATTGAGAGTCAAGAAATAAACTCACATTTACAGTAAATTGATTTTTGACAAGAGTACCAAGACCATTTGATGGGGAAAGAATAGTCCTCCTTTCAATAACTGTGCTGGAACAACTGGATATCCACATGAAAAGAATGAATTTATATCACTCCCTCACACAAGTGAAAATTAACTCCAAATGGACCAAAATCCTACAAAACTTTTTTTTTAGTTGTAGATGGACACAATAACTTTATTTTGCTTATTTATTTTCATGTGATGCTGAGGATCGAACCCAGTGCCTCACATGTGCTGGGCAAGTGCTCTACCACTGAGCTACAACCCCAACCCAGCCTCCTACAAAACTCTTAAGAGAAAATACAAGCATAAAACTTCTTGGATTTATCAGTGGATTCTTGGGTATGGTACCAAAAGCACACATACACACAAAAATGGGCTTTCTCAAAATTAAATTTTTTTTTCCTTCAAAGGACACCACTAAGAAAGTGCAAAGACAACTCACTAAATGGAAGAAAATATTGGCAAGTCATATATTTGTTAAGGAATTTGTATCTAGAATATATGAAGAACTCTTAAAACAAAATAATATAAAATAAATAATAACAAATGGATAAACAATCTGAATAGACACTTATCCAAGGAAGATAAACAAATGGTCAAAAACATATGAAAAGATGATCAACATCATTAGTCATTAGGGAAGTACAAACAAATTCCACAATGGGATTCTTCATTCCCACTAGGATGACTCTAATATAAAGGACAAAAATAAGTGCTATGAAGGGTGTGAAGAAATTGCTACCCTCATTCACTGCTGATAGGAATGTAGACTGATACAACCACTTGGGGAAATAGTTTTGAAGTTTCCCAAAATGTTAAGCACATACCTACCATATGTCCCAGCAATTTTACTTATTGGCATATGCCTAAGAAAACTGAAAACATACATCCACATGATAACTTATATATGAATTTTCATAACAACATTGTTCATAATAATAAAAAAATAGTACCAACCTAATGTCTGTCAATTAATAATGGATTAACATGATGTGGCATATTCATACAATGGAACATTATTCATTAATAAAAAGGAATGAAGTACTGATTCATGATACAACATGGACAAAGCCAGGCACAAAAGGTCACATAGTGTGTGATTTCATTTACATGAAATGTCCAGAATAAAATTCACAGAGATTGCCAGGGATTGAGGGGAGAGGGAAATCAGGAGAAACTGCTTAAAGGACAGGGGTTTTACTTTGGAGTAAAAGAAATGTTTTGGAACTAGACAGGTGGTGCAATATTGTAAATGTACTAAATGCCATTGAGTTGTTCACTTTACAACAGTTGGTTGTATGTTATGAGTTTCACCTCAATAAAGTATTTAAAAGAAAAAACAATCCAAAAATCCTAGTTAACACTTCTATTCACAAATAACATTTCAAAAGGGGAAAAGTATTTCAAAAAGAGACAGAATTTTTCTTTTCATTCATAAACACAGGCAACATTTCCAGCACTCACCTTTCTCAGATTTCTTGTTTCCTGTTGAAGAACTGCTACAACCCATGATTTCTAAATCATATTATGTTCACAAATTCAACTTCTGATTCCAAGATAAGAGTATGAAAAGTCTCTTCCTTGATGTTGTGAGGAGTTGCTCTTAGTTGATCCCCTTCAATCACAGATACTAATAAGAAACAGGAGGGAAGGAGAGAAAGTATAAGTTAACAACATGATAGCTAAGGGGCTGCTTGGCAGAATTCGTTTTATGCTTCTTCTGAATTACTATTCATTGTGTGATATGGAAAGTGATCAGACATAATCTGACCCTGATTTATTTTCCAAATCACAACAGTAGCTACAGAGCAGCTACACACTCAAATTATAGTTTCTCCATCTCTAAATCAAATCTAACCCTAAAATTAAGCATTAAGAGTCAAACATGGTAGATAGCACATGCCTGTAATCCCAGCTACTCAGGAGGCTGGGGGCAAGAGGATGGAAAGTTTGAGGCCAGCCTTGGTAACTCAATAAGACCATCTCAAAATAAAAAATAAAAAGGGCTAAGAATGTAGCCAAGTGGTAATCTCCAGCACCTTAAAAAAGAAGCATTAATAATGAAATGAAAAATTGAACTGTAAGAATGTATTATTTTCTAATTGAAATACAGAGAATGGAGGAGCTGATATAATTGTTTTGACTTTAAACTCAAAGTAATTAAATCTATCTGGACTTTAAAAACACAAATTGGAGGCTCACTATGAGAAAAAAACAACATGTATAAACAACTGTGACAAAATTAAAATCAAAGTGAATTTTTTGACAATATATTTCATTTTTCAATCAGTTGAGGGTGCTTGTTTAAAAGAAGAAAATTCAAGACCTCCCCTCAAATTTAGGAATCATTATCTGTCAGAGTGTCCTTTTTACCATTTTTAGTACTGGGGCACTTTGCCACTGAGCTATATCCCTAGCCTTTTTTATTTTGAGACAGGATCTCCCTAAATTGCTGAGGCTAGCCTTGAACTCAAGGTCTTCCTGCTCAGCCTCCAGAGTCACTGGGATTACAGGCATGGCCCAAGAGTGTCCTTTTTTTTAATATTTATTTTTTTAGGTGTAGATGGACACAACACAATGCCTTTATTTTTATGTGGTGCTGAGGATCAAACTCGGGTCCTGCCAGTGCTAGGCGAGTGCTCTACTGCTGAGCCACAATCCCAGCCCCAAGAGTGTCCTTTTTAAATGAGCTCTCCAGGCATTCCTGAGACCCCTCTGAAGTCTCCCCTCTTGCTTACTAGATCCTTCTGATGAGGCTGCTGAATTGGCATTTCCATAACCACTTGATGAGGGTTTTAAACAAAATTCCCCTCTGTAGTATACCATCTCATTGCTTTTGGGGGTGATGTTTATTTTGTGATGCTCTGACTCTGAACTTTACCTACTTTTTTCTATCATTTTTTTCTATTACTACTACACTAAAGACTTCAAAATTTCAATTCAACTAAAGAAAGGGAAAACTAATATGAGTAAAATAAGGCTGGGAGTGTAGTGTAGTGGTAGAGTGAATGCTTAGTATGCCTGACACCCTGGATTCAATCCTCAGAACCAAAAAATAAAAATACAGCTGGACCCAATTCTTTTATGCATCAAATTAATTAACTCCCCTAAACTTTGGGCTATTTACAAATTTGATAGACATTTCTTTCATGTCTTTTTTTTTTTATCTACATCATGGATAAAAAATGTTAAGGTCAAGTTCAAAGGCACAACAAGCCCTGTGGCACTCCATTCCAGATCATTCTTCAGGGTATATCCACTACATTCACAATGTCTGAGCATATTTATTCAGAAAGAAAAGGAAGAGGAAGAGGGAAGGAGGATAAAGAAGAGTAAAAAAGGAAAGAGGAAGAGAATCAGTTTGGCATGATTTTTAATAAAAGAATCAGACATTTAAAGGTGGGAAAGACCCTTAAAATTACCTACGATTTATACAAAGTACAAGAAAATAAAGCAATTTGCCTAATGTCAAATTTTGCTGCATATTGGGGAAATTTTTAAGCTCCTAACGCTCAGCTTGCACTTCATTAAATCGGAATATCTGGGGGGTTAAAAAATACTAATGCCAAGGTCCCACCTCCAGAGATTCTGATGTAATTGGTATCAGGTGGGGATTGAACATCAAGATGTTGTTAAAGGTAACCAGATGATTCTAAAATACAGCAAAGTTTGACAATCTCTAAAAGAGATAATGTTTTATCAAACCTATAATGTTGCCTAGTGATCATTTTTCCAGAAATGCTTTGACTCCATTCATTGGAAGCTGAATTTTTCCAGAGTTAGACTTAACAAGTCTCTGGCTTCTGGTATCTACTTTTCTCATTTTTGAAAATGGTATACTACTGACCCATTTTTGTGCTCAGGAATTTCTCAAAGGTCATCTACAGTACATTAGAGAACAACACATCTGCACATTCCTTCATCACTGCAGGTGTGGGTGAGGGGGTAAAATTCAAAGTCCAGGCTTTACTGATAATACTCAATTACAAAAATTCTGGAGGCCAAGAAATCTGCATTGAAAGTGCAATCTTGGGCTGGGGGTATAGCTCAGTGGTAGAACATTTGCCCAGAATGTGCAAGTTCCCAGCATCAATAAAAATATGTACAAGTAAATATATTTGTAAAATATATATATATATTTATATAAAGTGTACCCTTCAGGATACTTTGATGCAGGCAGTCCCCATATCCCAGTTTGAGAAACACTGCCCTCCCACAGTATCCATATCTACCTTGGGCTTTGCTTCATGCTTATGCTATTTTTTTCTACCCCTTTCCATGAATCATTAGAGTTTGGCATTGAGTAAGCAACAAACACTGATTGGATAACAAAAGTGATGTATCTTAATCTCAATTTCCTTTTTCCAGAAAAATAATGTATCTCCAAAGGCATTTGCTTCTCGGCTAATTCATTATAAACACATAGAATTCCATATATAAAATTCACTAGGAATTTTAAAAGCATCAAACTTGCATATGTTTCTGTTAGACTGTAAGAACCATGTGTAACTTTCTTTGTAAATACCCCTCGAACCTTTGGCACCTACGCAGTGCCTTTTACATAACATATGTTTGACAAATACTGAACGGATAAATGAATAAAGAAATAAGTATTTCTAAGCCAGAGTCCTTTAGAAAACTAATTGCTAAAAGTCATTATTTTTTTAATTTTTTTAAATTTATTTTTTAGTTTCAGGTGGATACAATATCTTTATTTTATATTTATGTGGTGCTGAGGATTGAACCCAGTGCCCCATGCATGCTGGGCGAGTGCTCTTCCACTGAGCCACAACCCCAGCCCCTAAAAGTCATTATTAGTGTATCATTTTTGCATTCTTTTTTAAAGCAAATTTTAAAATCATGTTGGAAATGATAATTGTTCTAGAATTCTTTGGTTGTCTATTAGAAAAAAATAATTGGCTATTAGAACTTTTATATTATTATTGTGTCATTTTTTTAATACTATTTTTCTTTCTCAGGTAACAGGGGGGAGGGAGGGAGGGAGAGAGAGAGACAGAGAGAGAGAGATCTCACCAAAACATGAAAAACATCTGGTGCCACTTACCACTCCCACATGCTACCCAACCTAGACCTTGAAGCACAGGGGAGAGGAAAGCAGGTTTGTGAGCAGTGTTTGTGGCATCCTTGGGAACACTTATGGCTAACTATGAAGCTGATAAAGATGACTTGGGGATTTTCCATGACTTGGAAAAACCTAAGCTTCTTCCATTTCCACACTCCACCAGCATCAAGGAGAGGACTTAGTACAGCAATCAAAGTCTCTGAAAAAGTGATTCCTCCTGCAAGGGGTTCTCAGGCTCAAAAGGTTGATGTCCTGGTCACATAAACCACTGGGGTGGATTGTGGCAAAAACAGCTTGAAAGCTGCCCAGTGCTTCTGCCCTTTCTGATATATACCAAAGATGATTTTAAGAGTAAACATAAATTAGTGACTCATCATCAGCACTCAACGTACAATCTGCAAAAGGACAGGTTTCTACCAAAAGGTTGGGCTTCTACTAAAAGGTTTTTACTGTGGGGCGATGGGTGGACAGGAAGGAGACCCGAGAGTGGAACTGTTTGACATTTCATCTCATCCTAACCACTTTCATTTTCAAAGCTGAAAACAAGAGGAAAGAACAAAAGATGGCCCTTGGAGCCAGCCCACCCTTTACCACTGAGCATTCTTGAAGTGTAAGCCCAGCTTCCCTAAGATGCTCTTATTCATTCTTAACATTATTTTATTTCTAAGTGGATCTCTATACAACTCCCACACCTTGGCTCAGCTACCCTGACTGTGCATGAATCTACCTCTGGTAATATTCTAGATGTTAACTGGGTAGTTCTCCATGCCAGAAATCCAGCTTTTCCTAGAAATGTTAGCTTTTGTGAGAAATTCCTACTCAAGCTCTGGCCCTGAGGAACTCAAATCCAGAATCCACCATCATTTATCTGGCTCCCCCACCATCACCACACTACCATACTACCACAATGGGAGTTAAGTAGGCAGTTATAATTCTTCCTCCTTGAACTCTAGACACTAGCATGGAGAATGGACACCTTGTCAGGCTCACTCTACTTCTGATATGATTATAATCATGAAGTATCTTAACCTAGAGCCAGGTTTTCCAAAGTGTGTTTGTGTTTGTCTGTTCATCAATGTGGTTTATTATTCTAAGAATAAGGCAAAAAAAAAAAAAAAAAAAAAAAGTTCCACCATGAGAAAAAAGTAGTGTTTAACAAGTTTTTTTTTTTTTTTTTTTAACTGCAGGATTTCTCAGAGCCTTCAATAGATTAATGTGCATTGGGAATCTTTAAGAGCGAGTTGACAACTAGGAGGGGACCCTTTTGAGGTAACCATTTCAAGAACAACTATTGTTCCTAACTGTCTAATGTTAGTTCAGTAGAGCCTTGGATTTAGAAAGGACTGAAGTTTAAATTCTCAGCTTGTCATGAATTCCTCTGCACCTCAGTTTCCTCTTAAGAGATAAAAGTGCATACTTTACTGACTTGAACAAAGAGCAGACAGGTTAGCAGGGGCCATGCATGGGTGGGAATCGGCTGTGTTTACTCAAGTTTCCTTCAGAATGCTTCGCTTGGGGCCTCCCAGAGACCACACCCCTTGAATATCTGTAGGCTCTAGAATAAATGAAGATTCACAAAGAAATGCCCCACCCTCAGAGCTGCAAGATCTGAAATAATGCTATACCAGTAATACCAATAAGAGTTAAAATCACTACCATTTATTAAGGGACTATTATGCACCCAGCACAGTAGGTGCTTTATATTTCTATTATTCTAGTAAATCTTCATAGCAAACCTTCAAGGTAGCATCATCACCCCCATATTACGAATGAAGAAACTGAGGCTCAGATATTAAATATCATACTCCCTGGCACAGATGATTAGTGGCAAAACTGAGGATTCCCCTATTTAACCATTAAAAAACAAAAATGCCTGCCCACTTAAAGGCTAGCTATGCCTCACTTTCAGGATCCAGTCTGTGTTACAACTAAATCACTGGAGAGAATTCTTAAACACTGCAACAAATTCTTTTCCATTTCTTATAAAGAAATAAAAACCCTGTGGTCCTCTATTAAAAGAGGCCAAAGGAGCTAAGGAAGCTTTCTAAATATGAAGTTGTATAGTGGAGTTTGGATAATACTCCATGAGGGATCTACTTACAAGTGTTTCTCAAAGTGTCGCTTGCCTCATTTTTTAGCTCTCATCAACTAAGTTATTCCAAATATCAAATTTATTTGAAATAGGCCACAACCCTTCAGATTGCAAAGTCATCTGTACACCTTTTTTAAATAACAATTGATTTACAATTAGCATTTCTGAGAAAAATCATCCTAAGAAATTGCAAAACAATAAATATACTCCAATGAGTATACATTCCCTCTTTCATTTTCACATGATAAATGTTTATCATGTAGAATACAGTCATGTAGAATTAGCCCATAATGTCTAACAACAAATGAACATCTTACCTGGGTCTCTTGCTTGGCCACTGCAAAGGTTTTCCTCACTCCAGGTGTTTCAGGAGAAACAAAGATGAGAAAAAGTTTTCTCTATGAGAGAACACGGAAATCTGAAAGAAAAGAGTTATAATTTTCAGATCTCTCTGGAGTACCATACACACACACACACACCAGGGAGAGCTCTTGCTTAAATAAACACACACACACACACACACACACACACACATACACACACACACACACACATAAACAGAGAAATCACTAGAACAGTGCCAATCTGACTTGACTTTCAGCCTGGAAGGCAAGCCCAAAGTCACAGATTCAGGAAAGGCTGAGCTATCTTGTGAGCTGCAGCTGTCTGCCCCAACCCTTCTCTGTTCCTGGCCTGGAAATAAAGAGATGTGCTCAAGTAATGGGCTGCGATATCAGTGGTCACATGATTGCTTCTAAGGGGACCAGACTCTGTTCAGGCAGGATCAGGCTGCTGTTTGCAGAAATATTCCATATCAGTACAAGTAGAAAAGAGAAGTTCAGTAAATAAAGGCAGAAAAGCATTCTTTAGATCAACTGCAGATGATTTTTGGAAAACACTGTATAACCTGCGTACAATTAAGAGAAAGTGGGAAAATGAAACATTCTTTCTAAGGGCTAGAAAGACATACATTTAAAGGAGTTGCAGTTAGAGCACTGCAAACTAGTTCATATGACATGTGTATTTGCCCAGCTGTCCAATTCTTCTTATTGGAGAACATATTTATGAAAGAGAGATTCACCTCCTTTCATTGGCAGAAAAGAAAATGAAAGTTGACCTGTAGTTTTCTGAGTTTCGGAAAGAAAAAAAGGAAGATACATCTGAAAACTCAAAGTGATGAATTCAGTAATGGATGCCAACAACCACAATTCGGCTATCTGTTAAAACAATTCAGGGATGGGCTTATTCTCAGAGTCTCATGCTGACTGTAGCCACACTGTTAGCAATTTTCCTCCCAAACTTCCTAGCTGGTTACACGGCATATGCAGCTTCAAGCTTACTGTTCTCAGGCTTCACCAACCGGGATTTACAGGACTGTAGCCATGGCCGTTTCATAACCCCACCCAAGCTGCTCTTTAGCTTTAGCTGCTCTTTAGTCTTTCTGCAATTGAGAGTCATAGAGGACTAGCAAAATGGTTACCTAGTTTACTACTTAATCTAATGGAGTTCCTTTAAAAATAACTAGAAAAGCAGCTTTGGGCTTCTGTACTTTATTAGCATATTAAATATTACCAGAGGGCCTCATTATGAGGCAATACAACCGTTCAGGTTTCCATGGCAGGGACACCAAGATGAGAATCTGATGAGGCTGCCACATGCTTTGTAAATGATAGCATAATTACCCAGGCCTCTGAAAAAATAGTGGACAATGCAGCTCTATGGCTAGATTTCCAAACACATGTTCAATTCACAGTCATTAAATGATGGCTATGTCTAAATGCAGTTGTTCAAATGTCACCTTCTCTATGTGAAGCCTTTCCTGAATCACCAAAAGGGAATTAGTCATTCTGTCTCCTGGCTCTCAAAGCCATGCATGTGTCCAATTATAAAGTCTCCCAAAATGTGCTGTAATTTGCCCTTTTACATGTTAAATCCTAAGGGGAAAGAATCCATTCCATTCCTCTTGGCATCCTCAGCTCCAGATGCATAAGATCACCAAATATTTGTTTAATCATAGAAATAAAAGAGAGGAGGGAAAGAACCTGGGATTTAGGTGATTATTTTTTAATATGTTTTTAGTCCATCTAAAATACCTTTGCTTTATTTATTTTTACGTGGTGCTGAGGATCGAACCCAGTGCCTCACATGCATTAGGCAAGCACTCTACCACCGAGCCACAACCCAACCCTTAGAATATTTTAATAGTCAATTTCTGAACTATGAACTAGATTAGTAAATTGTATCAATTTAGAATTCTTAAAATTTAGATCTGGCCAGGTGTGGTGGTGTACACCTATAATCCCAGCTATTGGGGAGGCTGAGGCAAATCACAAGTTCAAAGCCAGCCTGGGCAACTTAGCAAGACCCTATCTCAAAATAAAAAATAAAAAGGGGCTAGGGATGTAGCTCAGTGATAGAGTGAGTGCCCTTGGGTTTAAAAAAAAAATACTTAGAATCTGCTTTGAATGAATAGCTTTACTTTTTTCTATTATACAAAGAACACTGAAACATTACTTTGAGTACCATATTGGAGTCCTACAGCCAGCCTCTAATTGCTAAATACACCAACACTGATATATATGAATAAATCACAATAATGCTAATAACACTAATTAAGCACTAATTGAGCACTTACAATGTTCTAGACTTATTAATTTGACATGTTAATCTTAGTTAATCCACATACTAGCCTATGAAGTATACACTACTCACATGCTAGGAACAATAGGCCAAAGTCAAATAACAAATGAAAGACAGATCTGGGATTTGAACCCAGCACTTTGACTCTAAAACACCTGCTTATGATCACTGCACCATACTGTCTGGATCAGCACCTTGTGCGTTTGCAAAACTGAGGTTTTTGTTTCTCGGATGTTCTTTGACTTTCCTGCAGTTAAGCGGGAATGTGTTCTCCCAATCTGAGAAAAGAAAAAACAAACAGGCAAAATCATGTTTACAATTCTAAACCCACTCATTAACAATAAATTTGTTCCCCTAACAGTCAAGGTATGTCAATATATTTCTTAATGGGCATATCATCATATGAAAACAGCTGACAGGAAAGGTAAGAAACCAATTTCCCCTTGGAAAAGGCATGGTAATACCAAATCATCCTTGACCAAGATGCCTTATGTTCTTTCATTTAACAAATATTCACTGAGCTGTGCTGAGGAAAGGGACACAAAAGGTGAACAAAATACACATGACTGGGTGAGGCAAACACAGAGGTAAATAATAAATAGTAATAAATTGCAAATTAAAATCTGTCTCCCCTATTAGACTATAAGCTCCAGGTACCCATAACAGCACCTGGCACATAAGAAATAATTATTACATAAATAAATAAAAGCAAAACAGTAATGTATGGCAGGTGAAAAATACTATGGGAGCCCAGAGAAAGAGTTCTATTCTAGAAAGGGAAATGAGAGGAGGTTTTTTCTAGAAGAAATGACCCACAAATCTTATGACTGGGGGCTGGGGTCATGGTTTAGTGGTAGAGCGCTTGCCTAACACATGTGAGGCCCTGGATTCGATCCTCAGCACCACATAAAAATAAAATAAAGGTATTGTGTCCATCTACAACTAAAAATATTTTTAAAGCCAAAACAAAACAAAACAAAAAAAAAACTTATGATTGAACTGACATTATCCAGAAGAAAAGACAAGGGCAAAAAGAAGGTATTCTTATGAACATACATATTCTACTATACTTGACAAGGATGTGAAATAAGAGTAGAACTAAAAATCAGAATGAACTGCAACCCTAATGATCATGCTGCAATTAGAGTGGATAGAGAAAGATGCCTGTCAAGAATGAAAAATGGGGGCTGGGGATGTGGCTCAAGTGGCAGTGTGCTCGCCTAGCATGCATGAGGCACTGGGTTCAATTCTCAGCACCACATAAAAATAAAATATGGTGTCCACCTAAAAAACTAAATATTTAAAAAAATGAAAAAGGCTGCCTTTTCCACCTCTGCAGGCTTCCTCTTCCTTTGCTGCCTCCCTTTTCTATTTCCACTATGCCACTCCTTTGTCTTCATCTTCCAAATAAACTTCCTGCCCTGTAATGCTTGCTTCAGGCTCTGCTACTGAGGAAACCCAAGCCAGGACACTTGATTAGTCGATGAAGTAAGAAACTATGGAAAGACAGAGGAATTCAGAGAAATCTGGCTACCTCATAAGGAGGAAAGACCACATCACAGGCAAAGTTTTCCTATTTCACAAGCTTCCTGGAACTGGCCACAGTTCCAATTTCTGCCAAGGTAAAGTACTTCTAATGGCCAGCTCCTAGTATCGATCATAACACACCCTGAGAAGTATGCTAGAATTAGATGCAGTAGCCAGACTGGAGAGTAGACTGAGATAACAGCAATATGCAGTTATACTTGGTGGGGGTTACTTAAGGGGTCTGCCCATTCTTGGCCCTGGTAGCTGAATGTTCAAAGCACCAGACAGGACTGGTCTCCCAGCTATGGCAACTTTCAGCTAGCCTTCCAGTGCTGAGGCCAATGGTAAACAATAACAAATCACAACTTCTTAAATTCTGATAGTCTCCAAAACTGGGCACTTGCCTGGCAGCAGATGTACAGAGATCTACAGGGAAGCAGAAAACATTAGAACTTATATTTTTTATCTGTTTTCTTATTCTTATTAATTTTTCTATTTCTAATGTATATTTAATCATGTATACAATGAGTTCAGTAGTATTGGCTATAAATAAGCAAATATACTAGGGGTCCATTCTCAAAAAAATTTTACTGTGAGGAGCCCATGGTCCCCAAATTTCAAAGAACCCTGATTGAAAGAGACCATTCCTTTCAAAAGAGAAGAAAGGAACACAAAGTAATTTTACACTTAAACAATAGAAAAGATTAACCATATCTCCAAGGATAAGGTCTGAGTATTGAAAAATCACATTAAGTAAGAGAAAAGAGAGGCCAGATTTGGCAAACCATAGGAAGTCATTAAGAGAAATCAAAGGTAGGTTAGGAGTCACTATCAGGTGGAAGAAATTCATAAAGGTCAGTACTGGCCAGAAGTGTTCATTGGGGTCACCTGGTCAGCAGCCATAGTAACAGGATGAAATAGCTGTCATGTTTTTAAGTATAGAAGTTCAGTTTTGAAAGGATCCTTCTTAGATATAAAAGTTAATCCTTCTTTTGTTGCGATTTAATAAATAAAAGATTAGTAGATATCAAAGTTTCAATTATGACCACTTAATCTAACCCTTGGTTCTAGATGGCTTGCATTTTTTTTTTAGAGAGAGAGAGAGAGAGAGAGAGAGAGAGAGAGAATTTTTAATATTTATTTTTAGTTCTCGGCGGACACAACATCTTTGTTGGTATGTGGTGCTGAGGATCGAACCCGGGCCTCACGCATGCCAGGCAAGCACGCTACCGCTTGAGCCACATCCCCAGCCCCAAGATGGGTTGCATTTTAAAAAATAATTTCACCTTAAATTAACACTGGATGTTCATAAATCAAAATTTTAAAAGTTTCCCAGTGGGCTGGAGGTATAGCTCAGTGGTAGAGCACTTGCCTAACATGTGCTAAACCATGGGTTTCATCCAGAGTGTTTCAGTCTGGATAAAATGGAATAAGGACATTCTGCCTGCTCAACCCTGTTTCTCCCATGGAATGATGCTATCAACCCAGGCAGAATCCATGAAGCAGCCATTTAAGGACTGTAGCAGGCAGACTCTATTGCCTTTGCAACTTGTTTTATAAGCTGCCATGTTTGAGGGGCCTATAAAGACTGGGGGAAAGCCAACAAGGATCTAATTAAGGTCCTCAGTCAAACAGATTATGAGGGACTGAATCCTGCTGACAACCACGAGCTTAGAAGTGGATCCCTCCCAGTCAAGCCTTCAGATGGCTATAGTCCAGCCAACTCCCTTAACTGCAGCAACTCAAAAAAGATCCTAAAGGTGCCCAAGCAAACTAGGCCTGGGTTCCTACACTGCAGAAACCATGAGATCATAAAAGTATATTGTTTTAAGTCACTAAAATTTTTGTTAATCTGTTACATAGCAATAAATAAGCAACGTGAGGACTCCAAAAAGTAAACAGTAGAAGGTAGAGTAAAAGAACATCAGAGTTTGAAGTACTGCTGAAGTGGTAGGTAGTAAGTTTACATTTTTTCCCCCTTCAGTTCAAGGAAGCAGAAATTCAAATTAGAACCACAATAAGATATCACTATTCACCTGTAGCATGCTTAAATTAAGGGGAAAAAATACTAATAATACTTAATGCTGGCTAGAATGGAGAGCAACTAGAAATCTAATACCTTGCTAGCAGAAATGCAAAGTGGTACAGCTTCTCTGAAAAAGAGTTCAATAGTTTCTTATAAAGTTGAATATATACTTACCATATGACAGCAATCCTACTCCTGGATAGTTACTCTAGAGAAATGGATTTCTCTGTTTACACAAAAACCTATATACAGGTTCACAGGGTAAATACGGAAAACAGTCCAGATGTCCTTCAATGAGTGAATGGATACATAAACTGTGGGACATTCACACAATGGAATACTATGTAGTAATAAAAATAAATGAACTGCTGATACACACAAGCTGAATAGATCTCAAAGGTATTATACTGAATGAAAGAAGACATGCTTAAAAGGTTAGCCATTTCTATAACATTTCCAAAAAGACAAAACTATAGTGATGGAGAACTGATTGGTGGCTGTCAAAGGGTTTATGGTTAGGGAAGGAGAGATGACTATATCTGATTATGGTGATAGTTACACTAATCTATCTGTTAAAATTCACAGAACTATAATACAACAGCAATTGTTTTGTATGCTAATTTTTAAAAAATTTTTTTTAGTTGTAGATGGACACAATATCTTTATTTATTTTTATGTGGTGCTGAGGATCGAACCCAGTGCCTCACACATGCCAAGCAAATGCTCTACCACTGAGCTACAGCCCCAGCCCTTGTATGATAATCTTAAAGTGCTTTTTTTTTTTTTTTAACTTCATAGAGCTAGCTCTGGTTTAGTGTCTTTAGGTCTATAGATACTAGAATCCCTATAGGCTGACTTTGACTACCAATGACCTTCCTAAATCACAACCAGCAGCAATATCTTCTGCTATAAGCTCAGAGTACTAAGGAAAACACTTGCTCTTTCCTCTGTCTTCTGTTTTAATTTTCTATTCATGGGCAAAACTCAAAAACAGAGGTCCCAGTCAGAAGGTGCTGCCCATCCATTCTTTACTCAACAGATACTTGCTGAGCATGTTCAAGCTACAAGGCAAGGAGATAATGATGAATAATTATGATTCATTCCCCTACCAGGTTCACAGTATGATGAAGAACATAAGCATATACACAAATAATTTCAAGACAGGAGATATAGACTCAGAAATATGCTCACATACTCCTGGAGTCCAGAAAAAATTAGCTTTTCCTGAGAAAGCCAGGAAATATTTCATAAGGCATATAAGGCAAAGAAAGTCATCCCTGGAAACACAAGAGCATTTTATATTTTTGGAATGTTTCCTGAAATGGGGGACAGAGGATGTATAGAGTAGAGGTTGGAGATATAAACATGGAGAGGTAGGTTATTACCAACTGTGAATATTCTTATAAATCACAACAAAGAATTTGGACTTTAACCTATCAATCAGGGAAGGTAATTCCAAAATGTTTATTGGGCTGGGGCAGATAATAGAAATGAAAAAAAAAATCAGCCTGGGTAGAAACTATGGGACACTATGGAGATTTTTTTATCTAAATGAGGCACCTGCTACTTAATGGTAGCTCTCTCAGGCTGCCATCTAGAGATCCTGGCCCATTGTTGCCTGATGCAATCTTCCAAGAGAATCTAAACATGTTTTATGTATGATCTTATTTTTAAATGTTTGCAAGAGTATATTTCAGCAAATTTAAGATGCTATCGATTACAGGG